TATAAATTATGATGTAATTAAATTATATGAAATTGAGTTTTAATAGGTAATTCTATAATTATATTAAATATTACGTATTTTTTTTGTAAAAATCACAATAAAAAAGCTTCAAAATGAGGTTTTTGACTTTATACATAAAATTATTATAAATCTGCTGTGGCTTTCTACAATTTTTAAAAAGAAGTAGTTTAAAAAAAAATTACCAAACACACATATATTTAAAAGTGTTGTGTGATTACACCAAAAAACTCCAACTGCAGTCACACCCTTAGTCTATTGAGATTACTATCTAATTAAAATATGACATATATCAATAATAAAAAAAATTAATGTCAATTGTTATTTTTTTATATTATTAATATGAAAAAAATATATTAATTATACCTTTAATTTGTACATAAAATACATGTTAAAAGAACCCATAAATAAATAAAGTAAAACATGTTGCATAATCGGATCGTTTGATGAGCGCTCCTCTAAATTTTTGTTTTACAATCCTGTGCGGGGCAGTTAAAAATTCAAAAATTATAATAAATAAATAATAAATTAAAAATGAATAACCCACTCTAGTCTTGTAGTATTAGACCTTAAGTTATGGTCGTTTATCTCTTATAAATTGTGTGTTTGATTTTTATGGAATCTTTTTTCTCATTCCCTCAATTATTAGGTAAATAATTACAATATGTTAAAAATTAATAATAAATTAAAAATGATATTTACACAAAAATAAAAATAAATTGTGAGAGCATCAAATAAATTGAAATAAAAACAACTTTTTAAAAGGACTAATAGTAAAATGAAACAAGAGACTACTAAATAGAAAAGTAGTTTTTTTATTGAGTACTCTTGAGGCAAGATAAAGAAGAATAATTAGCTGATATTATCACTTTTTATAAAAAAAAAAAAAAGTGAAAGTCAATTTATTTTTTAAATTGATTTAGAGCATATTCAATGGAGCTCTCTCCCTTGTTTTCTTCAAGAAGGAAACAGAGACAGAGCAACTCATATAATTATTGGAGCATTTTTAATACGAGGGTTGACCTCTCTCTTAATATTTTTGCCCTTGAAAGTGGCAATTTTTTTTTTTTGTTGCAGTAGCATGTCGGCTCAACAACCATTTTAGAAATTATTTTTTTGGATTAAATAAAATAATATTAATATAATTTTTGAGACAATTTTATTTACAAAAATATTCGTTAAAAGGGTGAATACTTTGTTTGGTATTTTATTTAAAGAATAAATATATAAAAAAATATAAATTTATATTATTTTTTATTGTACATATTTTAATAAATTTTAACTCTACTTTAAAATAAACTAATAAAAAATAAACATGTATCATTTATGATTTAAATCAAAATTAGGTTTTACATTTTTCAATACCAAAAAAAGTAAAAATCATTAAACAATTATTAGCATATAGCCTAAGGACAGAAATAGAAAAACTTATAAAAAAGTTCAGGTACCAAAATGATCATT